AGAGAGAGAGAGAGAAAGAAAGAAAGAAAGAAAGAAAGAAAGAAAGAAAGAAAGAAAGAAAGAAAGAAAGAAAGAAAGAAAGAAAGAAAGAAAAGGGAGAGAAAGAAAGAGAGAAAGGAAGAAAAAAGGAAAAAAGTTGATATGACCATATTTATGAGACAAAGTATACTTTCAGGCAAAAGTATTACTAGAGGTAAGGAAGAACATTTCATAATACTAAAAATGTTTGCTTCAATAGGAAGACCCAACAATTCTAAATTTGTATGAACATAATAACATAACTTTAAAACATATCAGTTGAACTAAAAGGAGAAATAGACAAATTCACAATCATAATTGGATGTTTTCTTTTTCTGTTTTTTTTAGATAGAGTTTCGCTCTGTTGCCCTGGCTAGAGTGCAGTGATGGGATCTCAGTTCACTGCAACCTTATACTCCCGGGTTCAAGCAATTCTCCTCCCTCAGCCTCCCAAGTAGCTGGGATTACAGGCACCTGTTACCACATGTTGCTAATTTTTGTATTATTAATATTATCATTATTATTTTTAGTAGAGATGGGGTTTCTCTATGTTGGGCAGGCTGGTCTTGAACTCCGGACTTCAAGTGATCCTCCCACCTCAGCCTCCCAAAGTGCTGGGATTACAGACTTGAACCATCACGCCTGGCCTTAATTGGTTTTAGTACACATCTCAGTAACTATTAAAAACGGGAAGATCAAAAAGTCAATACAGATATATTTAAACAACACTATTAAGCAACTTGACCTGATGGATATTTATAGAACACTATACCCAGCAACTGCAGAATGCACATTCTTTTCAAACACATAACCAAAGATAGACCATATGCTCGGGCATAAAGCAAGTCTTAAAAAATCTCGAAGGACTGAAATTATATAGAGTATATTCACTGACCACCAGAAATCAACAGAGAAAGATAAGCAGAAAATTCCAAAATGTGTAAAAATTAAGGAACATACTTCTAAATGAACTGTGGGCCAAAAAATAAATCACACAGAAAACACAATATTTTGAATTAAAGAATAATGAAAATAAAACATCAAAATTTGTGAAATACAGCAAAACAGTGCTTAGAAGGAAATTTATGGTTTTTAATCCCACAAAGATAATCCAGGCCCAGATGTCCTCAAAGGTGACTTCTTCCAAATATTTAAGAAGAAATAATGACAATCTTTCTCAAACCTTTTCAGAGATTAGAGAAAAAGAGAACACTTTTTTTGTGGCTAACATATTTTATTACGGCTAACATAAATCTGATGTCAAAACAAAAATATTTTCTGCATATGGAAAGGATTATTAATATAATTTTTAGAAAAATATAAATAATACATTATATGTCATAAAATTATATTTTATTATAAAATTATAAACACACTACAACATTAGCAAGTTGAATACAGAGATATAAAAAAATAACATATTACCAACTATGGTTTATCCAAGAAAACCATATAAGTATCTTAATCGATACAGAAAAAGCACTTGATAAAATATAACAGCCACTCAGGAAAAAAATGCTCAGCAAATTAAGAATAGAAGGGAACATTTTTTTTTTTCGAGATGGAATCTTGCTCTGTCACCAAGCTGGAGTGCAGTGGCGTGATCTTGGCTCACTGCAACCTCCCCTTCCCAGGTTCAAGAAATTCACCTGCCTCAGCCTAGTGAGTAGCTGGGACTACAGGCACACACCATCATGCCCAGCTAATTTTTGTATTTTTAGTAGAGACGGAATTTCACCATGTTGGCCAGGATAGTCTCGACCTCTTGACCTCGTGATCTGCCTGCCTCGGCCTCCCAAAGTGCTGGGATTACAGGCATGAGCCACTGTGCCCAGCCAGAAGGGAACTTTTTTAATCCAACAAAAACTATCTACAAAAAGCCCAGAAACAACAGCTGACATATTTAATGGTGAAACATTCAGTGCTTTTCCTCTAAGGTTCCACTGCAATTCTGTGGTAGAAAGTACAGTTTTTTTTTTTTTCAACACATGAGGCTAGAACTCTTGGATATCCATATAGAGAAAAATAACTTGATGATATGGTTTGGCTGTGTCCCCACCCAAATCTCAACTTGAATTTTATCTTCCAGAATTCCCACATGATGTGGGAGAGACCCAGGGGGAGGTAATTGTATCATGGGGGCTAGTGTTTCCCATACGATTCTTGTGTTAGTGAATAAGTCTCAGGAGATGTGATGGGTTTATCAGGGGTTTCCACTTTTGCTTCTTCCTCATTTTTCTCTTACCACCACCATGTAAAAAGTGTCTTTCCCCTCCCATCATGACTCTGAGGTCTCCCTACCCATGTGGAACTGTAAGTCCAATTACACTTCTTTTTGTTCTCGGTTTCAGGTATGTCTTTAACAGCAGTGTGAAAATGAACAAATACACTTGACCTCTACCTTACACCATATCTGAAAATTATTCAAGATTGCTCATAAATATAAATATCAAATTTAAAAAATCAAACTTCTAGAAGAAAACATAGGAGAGAATCTTCATGACTTTAGGGTAGGTAAATATTTCCTAAACAGGATAAAAAGACAATAACCATAAAAGAATAAAAACAATTGGACTACATGGAAATACATTTTTTGTTTACTAAAAAATATCAATAAAAGAGTGAACAGGCAAATCACAAGCAAGGATAATATTATCATTATCTATCTATCTGACAAACAGGTCTATTCAGAATCTATAAAGAACTTATACAAATCAAATAAGACAAAAATATTTTTATAAAGAATGGGCAAAAGGCTTGAACAAGTACCACACAAAAGAGAATATCCAAATGGCCATTATGTGTATGAAAAGATGGACAACATCATTATTCTTCAGGAAAGTGCAAATTTAAACTATAAGACACCATTACACATTTACCAGAAAGTCTAAAAACTTAAAAGACTGAATACTGAGTATTGGGAAGAATGTGGAGCAACTGGAACTCTCATACGATGTGAGTGTAACTTTGGAAAACTGTCTGGCAGTGTCTATTAAAGCTAAACACACACCTACTCTATGACTCAGCAATATTTTGGCCAGCTTTATTGAGGTATAATCGGCAAATAATAATTGTATATATTTACAGTGTACAACATATTTTAATATATGTATACATTGTGAAATGACTGTAATCATTTATACTACAATCATACTATAATCAAGCTAATTAACATATCCATCATTTCACATAGTTACCTTTTTTGTGTGTGGTAAGAACATTTTGAGATCTACTCTCTTAGCATTTTTTGTGTATATAATTAATCATAGTCACCATGTTGTACAATAGATCTCCAAAACTTATTCATTCTCTTTAATGAAAATTTTGTACCCTTCAACCAAAATCCCCCCCTCTCCCTCCCAGCCTCTGGCAACCACCATTCTACTCTGTTTCTATGAGTTTGACTTTTTTAGCCCTCATTTCATAGATTTTAGTGAGATTGTGCAGTATTTGTCTTTCTGTGCCTGCTTTATTTCACTTAGCATAATGTGCTTCAGGTTCATCCATGTTGTTGCAAATGACAAGATTTCTTTCTTTTTTAAAGCTATGTAGTATACACATTTTCTTTATCTATTCATTCGCTGATGGACATTTTGGTTGATTACATATCTTATTTATTTATTTATTTATTTATTTATTTGAGATGGAGTTATACCCTGTTGCCTGGCTGGTGTGCAGTGGTGCAATCTCAGCTCACTGCAGCCTCTGCCTCACAGGTTTGACTGACTCTCCTGCCTCAGCCTACCGCGTAGCTAGGATTACAGGCGCCTGCCACCACGTCCAGCTAATTTTTTTTTTCGTATTTTTAGTAGAGATGGGGTTTCATCATGTTGGCTATGCTAGTCTCGAACTCCTGACCTCGTGATCCACCCTACTTGACCTCCCAAAGTGCTGGGATTACAGGCATGAACCGCACCTGGCTGATTACATATCTTGGCTATTGTGAAGAATGCTGCAATAAACCTGGGAGTGCAGATATCTCTTTGACATAATAATTTCATTTCCTCTGGATATATACCCAGAAGTGGGATCGCTATATCATATGATAGTTATATTTTTAACTTTCTGAGGAGGCTCCATCCTGTTTTCCCTAATGTCTGCACTGATTCACATTCCCACCAACAGTGTACAAGGGTTCCCTTTTCTCTGTGTACTTGCAAACACTTATCTTTTATCCTTCTGATAGTAGCCATTCTAACAGATATGAGGCAACATCTCACTGTGGCTTTAATTTGCATTTTCCTGGTAATTAGTGATGCTGAGCATTTTTTCATACATCTGTTGGTCATTTGTATGTCTTCTTTGACTTAGCAATTCAACTTCAGATACGTGATCAAGAAAAATGAGTATTTATGGCCAGTAGAAGACATACACAAGTATGTTCACAGCAGTTTCATTCATTCCAGTAAAAAACTAGAATCAACTCAAACGTCCGTTAGCAGCAGATGGATAACTAATCTAATTTGTAGTCATATGATGGAATATAACACAATAATCAAAATGAATGAATGGCTGATATACACAACAGCACGAATGAGTCCACGGATAATTTTCTTTTTTTTGAGATAGAATTTTGCTCTTGTCGCCCAGACTGGAGTGCAGTGGCATGATCTCGGCTCACTGCTACCTCCGGCTCCTGGATTCAAGCGATTCTCCTGCCTCAGCCTCCTGAGTGGCTGGGATTATAGATGCACACCACCATGCCCAGCTAATTTTTGTATTTTCAGTAGACATGGGGTTTTGCCATATTGGCCAGGCTGGTCTCGAACTCCTGACCTCAAGTGATCCGCCCAACTCGGCCTCCCAGAATGCTGGGATTACAGGTGTGAGCCACCACGCCCGGCCTTCACAGATAATATGTTGAGCATAGACACCATAAAACTGTTTGCTTTCACTGATATTAAATTCAAGAACAGGCAAAATGAATTAATATTACAAGTCAGCATTTAATATTAGAAGTCTTCTGACTTCTAATAATAATTCATTTTGGCCTGATTATCACTGGGTAGGTAGGTAAGAGAGAACTTTCTGAGGTATTAATAGTAGAAATGTGTTATATATCTGGATGATGACTACGCAGATAATACATATATTAAAAAGCCATCGACCTGTATACTTTAGATTTGTACACTTTCTTATCTCATATTTACTTAGACATTCTTTTGAAAGATGCTAACTGCATTAATAATAAAAATGAAAAATTTTAAACTTGCCACATTTCCCAAATTAGATGGGCAAAGATTAAACAGGCATTTAGAGAAAGACAGTTTTTTGTATATTGTCAAGGATAGTACAAAATGATACACATTTTTGAAGGCCAATCTAACAATATTCAACAAAATATTAATACATCTACCAGGGTCAAGCATGGTGGCTCACACCTGTAGTCCCAGCACTTTGGGAGGCTGAGGTGGAAGGATTGCTTGAGTCCGGGAGTTCAAGACCGGCCTGGGCAACATAGTGAGACCCAGTCTCTACAAAAAATAAAAAAATTAGCTGGGCATGGTGATGTGCATCTGCAGTCCCAGCTACTCGATAGGTTGAGTAGGGAAGACTGCTTGAGCCCAGGAGGTGGAAGCTGCAGTGAGCTGTGATTTTGCCACTGAACTCTAGTCTGGGCAACAGAGTGAGATGCTGTCCCAAAAAAAAAAATATATATATATATATATATGTATATATATATGTATATATATATATAAAATATACGCGCGTGTGTGTGTGTGTATATATATATGTCTGTATGTATATATATCCATGTGTATACACATATATGTAAATATATATATATATATATATCCTTTGACTCAGTTTAACTTTTAGCACTTTACCCTAATAAAATATTCATACAAGTACTCAAAGATATGTGTGGAAAAATAGTAATAAAACACTAGTTATACAATAAAAATCTCTGGGAAAAAAGGCATGTTCCTCAGTAAGAAAACAGTTAGATGAGGCTGGGTGCAATGGCTCACGCCTGTAATCTCAGCACTTTGGGAAGCCAAGGTGGGTGGATCAGCTGAGATCAGGAGTTCAAGACCAGCCTGGCTAACATGGTGAAACTCCATCTCTGCTGAAAAAAAAAAAAAAAGAAAAAAAGAAAAAACTAGCCTGGTGGCACATGCCTGTAATCCCAGCTATTTGGGAGGCGGAGGCTTGAGAATCGCCTGAAGCTAGGAAGTGGAGGTTGCAGTGAGCAGAGATTGTGCCATTGCACTCCAGCCTAGGCAACAAGAGTGAAACTCTGTCAAAAAAGAAAATAAAACAGAAGGAAAGAAAGAAAGAAAGAAAAAGAGAAAGAGAGAGAGAAAGAAAGAAAGGAAAAGAAAGAAAGAAAAGTTAGATAATTAAAATAATATCCATGAAATATGTTATAGCCATTAAAGAGCTTGAGGTTTATCTACATGTTTTGGTCTACTAAAAACGAGACTGTGAACTGTGTAAACAAAGATGGGAAAACTTAGGCTTCCAGCCCCCATAGCCATTTACTTAGCTACTCTGTCTCAGTGTCTTTATTTGTAAAATAAAGTTAACAATATTGTTCTTTCTGATCCAGCTCACAAGTGAGGATCAAGTGTAAGACGCCCTTTGAAAGACAGAAAGTGCTATGGAAGTGCAAATTGTTATTCCTGACATAACATTCTCTTTTTAACTAAAGCTTTATTTCTCTTAAATAAACACTCAGTCCAGATTTATTTTCCCTATCACTGATTTAGACCAGTGTTTCTCAAAATGTAGGTAGCAAAATATGGGCATTAGATCAAAATGGATGCGGAAACATTACTAAAACTACTGAGCCCAATCTCAAACTACCAAAGTTTTGGAAACTCTGTTTTAGATAGAAATGGGCATTAAGGCCATCTTTCCTCTTTCATTTAAAAGAATCTGGGCTAACTCTTATTCATGGAGGCCTTCAAGTTTGGCTTTCATCTGTCTTGGCTTATCATTTGTCCTCAATGCAGGAGTCAAATGAGCTGGTAAAGTAGTACAAATGGTACCCTCATTTATGTAATCCCAATAGCAGCCAAAGAACATTCAATGAAAAGAACAATGTGATTGTCACTTTATAGACAAACATGAAACCCAGTTTAGCTTTAAGAATCGTAGCTGTTGGAAAACACCATCTCCCGGGCAGCTGCTTTGGCTACTGTCCGCAATTAATTTAGCAGAGTTTCAAAAATAGAAAGCAGCCTCCGTTCTGTTATATAATAAACAGTGCTTTATTTGAAATGACAATATTTACTTTTCCTATAGTGAACTCCAGCAGCCTACTAGGCAGCAGGCAAACAGTAGAAATACCTAAAATGGAAACTTGAGAAAGCAGTTTAGCTAGTACAGTTTACTCTTCCTACTTGACCAACAAGTAATTAGAAGAGCCCTTCCATGTTACTCACATTTTATCTAGTTTGTACAGGATCATGGATTCCATAAGACTTACTATCATCATGCACATCTTTCTTGTTTTGATGTGTCTTGAAACATGCAAGACAGATGTGAAATAATGAGTTCTCCAATATTCAAGTGTTTAAGCAGAGCTGAGGGTTGTCCCATCAAGAATGCTTTCTAAAGGATTCTACTAAAATTGGCAGGTTCAACTGTTCAACTGCCAGTTGATTTCTCAGCCTCTTCCAACAGCAAAGAGTCTGGTGTCTATGTTTCAATTATCTTATTTTCAAGTTATCTTTAAAGGGAAAAAAATTATAAATTATTATTAACTTTTCCAGTAAACTCTCTTTTATAAATGAGAAGTTGTGATTTATGTGTTCTTTATTATAAAAAACTCTTTACGTACCTTTATAAGCAGCAAATGACCTCTATTTGCAATATAGACAACCACAGTTTTTTTTGTTTTTTTGTTTTTTGAGACGAAGTCTGCCTCTGTCGCCCAGGCTGGAGTGCAGTAGCAAGATCTCTGCTCACAGCAACCTTCACCTCTGGGTTCAAGTGATTCTCCTGCCTCAGCCTCCCAAGTTGCTGGGACTACAGGTGCTCACCACCATGCCTGGATAATTTTTGTACTTTTAGTAGAGATGGAGTTTTGCCATTTTGGCCAGGCTGGTCTTGAACTTTGGACCTCAGGTGATCTGTCTGCCTTGGCCTCGCAAAGTGCTGGGATTACAGGCATGAGCCACTGCACCCAGCCTGGACAACCACTTTTAACTTCTTCATAGAGCCTATTTTCTACTCCTTTTATCATATTGTGACAACTCTCCAAAGCATCTCCATTTCTTGCAAATCTTGAGGGAGGGGAGGTCTAATTGAGTCACACTATTCCACAGGGGTCATGTACAATGATGAGATGTTTAAGATTTTTTAGCTTTTTAAGCTGGCATTTAGCTGGCAATACTGGCTACT